ACACACACTCTCCTTGCGTAAAAAATGCTGGTTTCGGTTGAACCCGTAGCAAACATGCTGCATCCGCCTTTGTGACTATGACATGATATTACTAGAGATAACTGATAAGTAACCACGTTTCTTTTGCAGGAGCAAGTGATGGAAGAGACTTGAGTAGTAGGCTTTCATATTCATCGGCTCCGTTGACTCCTCGAAGCCAGAATGAGATCCTTGAATCCTCAAATCTGAAAAGCTTTAGTTTCAATGAACTCCGAGTAGCCACGAGGAACTTCCGTCCGGATAGTGTGTTGGGAGAAGGCGGTTTTGGTTGTGTCTTTAAGGGTTGGATCGATGAGCATACATTTAAATCTGCACGGCCGGGAACTGGTTTGGTTATAGCTGTTAAGAGATTGAACCAAGAGGGCTTTCAAGGTCACAAAGAATGGCTGGTAAATAAACTTTCCCCTTTAAATTTCCGAGGTTGATCAATGTATTAAAGGTGTATCACAATTGTTAAAGATAGAATATTTAACTATAATGTAGTTAGCTGGTCATGTTATCTGTGTCTTGATCTTGATAAGTTGATTAAATGGTTTTTTGGCAAACTTTTACTACAGGCAGAAATCAATTACCTTGGTTCGCTTTCTCATCCTAATCTCGTGAAATTGATTGGATATTGCTTAGAAGATGAACACAGGCTTTTGGTATATGAGTTCATGCCTAGGGGAAGTTTGGAAAATCATCTGTTCAGAAGTGAGTATAGCTTGTCTAAAACGATCATTCGTATTTAGGGACATCAATAATATCATCCATATAACATCATGACTCAACTTTTGTTATTTATATCTTGAACAGGGAGTACTTATTTCCAACCTTTGTCGTGGAATCTCCGCATGAAGGTTGCTCTTGAGGCAGCGAAGGGACTGGCTTATCTCCACAGTCCGGAAGCTAAAGTTATATATCGCGATTTCAAGTCATCTAACATTTTGCTTGATGCTGTATGTGAAACAACTTTTAAAGTTAGTCTTTTAAAAGTTTAAGAATGTTTGTGTAGTCCTCTTACAATCTCTCCATGCCACGAACTGACAGAATTACAATGCGAAGCTTTCTGATTTTGGATTGGCAAAGGATGGGCCAGTGGACGGTAAAAGCTATGTATCTACTAGAGTAATGGGCACCTATGGTTATGCAGCTCCCGAGTATATGGCCACAGGTAATACGTCCTCTCTTAATTTAGTTTATACATCTTTGGATTACTCCTTCAACTGTTTCTGTCCGGACATCCCCCTCTTCAGGCAATTTTGTTCCCTTTTGATCTTTGAAACGCACACTCACACACGCATATGTATATAATGCTTACACACACGTGTATATAATGCTTCTCTTAAGAGTTATCTATTCTCTTTAATTCATGATTGTCCTCTGTTTGTCTAAGATTCTTTCGCACTCGACGAGGAAGATTGAATACCATGTGTTCTAAAAGAAACTAGAAATGTATTGCTATTTGCCTTTTTCTGTTATATGATCCTATTCACCAAAATCTAGTCCTCTTGATCTTTAACCATTCATATTTTATCCATCTAGACATATTAAAGATAGATTATTGCGTCTACTAAAATGAATAAATAACATATTCATTGGCCCGAATCTCCTGTTTGGGATATTCTCTTAGCCATCTGAATTGAAAGAGCCGTGTAGGCTTTGAAATTTTGAAACTTTCCGCTTCTAAATATCGGGTCCGATATATCATTAGTGCATTTCCGAGTGAATGCTAGTATACCATTTTCTACTCTGATTTCCTGGAGTAAAATTTTTCTTCACTTTGTGATTTGTCACTTTCACCTGTGTAGGCCATCTAACTGCAAGAAGTGACATATACAGTTTCGGGGTTGTTCTTCTAGAAATGATGACAGGCCGTCGAGTGATGGACAAAAACCGCCCTCACGGGGAGCAGAATCTAATTGAATGGGCTAAGCCTTTTCTTTCCAGTAAACGAAAAGTCCTTCGTATTATGGATCCGCGTATAGAAGGTCAGTACTCATTGGAAGGAGCACTGAAGGCAGCACTTCTTGCAGTCAAATGCCTGGCATTAGAACCCAAATTCAGGCCCAAAATGCACGAGGTCGTAAAGGCACTAGAGCAACTTCAGAACTCAAATGAATCGGGAAGTCTCAAACGTGATCAAACGCAAAGGAAACATCTTAGAACCTGTACCGATGAAGCTTCAAGAAGAAAAACTTCGTCTTACCCGAGGCCAGCTGCTTCTCCTCAGCTTGTTACTTGAATTGGCATGAGAATGAATGACTACAGCTTTAACCATATATACTTACCTGAAATGAGAGAAAATCATGGAACATGTTACTAGGTAGACTGAATCTTGGAAACTAGGAAATATGTCGTAAATTTGTACCAAGCAACTTAGCAGTCTACAATTCTTAATTTGATCTAGCTGGAAATTTAGCATTTGATGTTATCTTTACACTGATGCTAAATAGCCTTTTGTTGTATATAACTTTTCAGTTTTTGAGAGCCAAAGATGTGAAGGAAAAGGACTTTTAACATTTTTGTTAAAAGTTAGTGAGGAATCATATAGGTGATCCTAACTTGTTTGGGACTGACGCATAGTTAATTTTGTGAAAAGAAAAGAGAAAAGAATTCTGCTCACGTTATGTTCTTCAGTCATACTTCTTTATAACATCTTTTTATAACAGTCATTCACTATATCTTTTTATAACAGTCATTCACTATAAAAACTAGTTTTTTTCCGAAATAAATATTTATGTTATGTTATACAATCAAACCTTTCCATAACATCTCAATATATCAGTCATTCACTATAAAAATTAATTTTTTTTCGGAATCGATTTTTATGTTATATTATAATATACAATCATCTACAATAACATTTCTCTATAACATCCAAAAAATATCAGAACAAATGAGACTGTTATAAAGAGGTTTGACTGTACTAAAGTGCTTTCAACTGAATTATGATATTTTCACTTCACTGGACTGTTTTGTGTTTCTGTCTATACTGTGGCCCTCATTTTGCAGGATCAAGCATTGCCTAATATAGAAGGGTAAAAACTTTTTGGCACCCAATATTTACATCAAACTACCTTAATTGACCATGGTTATTGAGGTGAAAATGTGCATTGGTTAACTATAATTTAGTAATAATAAGATATGTGATGACGGATTTATGTATTCATTTGATTGGTGTAAACATCATATCCCAGTAAGTTAAGTTTTCTTGATGCAAAAGTTCTCCCATAGTCTGAGGGAAAACTATAGGATCTTAGTGGTAGGAGAAGTGAAATATTGTTTAGCTAAATACACTGAATATGACGAGGTTTGGTACTAAAACTTTCCTTTGGAATATTAGCAGAATCTGTCTGTTGCATTAGTTGTCATAGTTTATTTGTACTGTCTTTGTTCCAATTTATATTATAATTGATGCCAATTATACTGCTTATACTGCTTTCACAGGTTTTAGAAGCCAAAACTGTTTAGTATTGTATACTATGTTTTTAACAACCAAAGAATAAACTAGTTTACAAGTCAAACAAATATTTAAATTCAATGTCTGCGGATAAAAAAGAGGTATTAATAATTCATAATTACAATTGACGTATAGTTATTGAGGGTAGAATGTCGATCGTTGAAAGTTAGAAAATTTTAAAGTAAAGTTGGAAGTGTAAATATTTATTCCAATTTTAATTTATCTTTTTTACCCAGCTACAAAAACTAAATTGTTAATAGTATTTTCGTCTATTATTCTTAAAACTTAAGACTTCCAATATTCCACTTTTTTGTGTGATAAGGTTTGGATTATGGATATCAAAATACTTAATTCTCAATGTAAGTTTGGATATAAAATTTTTAAGTTTTTCGAAATAAAATTTACAGATTTAGAAATAACAACAACAACAACAAACCGTACAAGTAGGGTCTGAGGAGTATAGTGTGTATGCAGCATCGAAGCCTTACATGTGCAGGTAAAAAGGCCGTTTTCGATAGACCCTCGACATTTAGAAACTACATATAAACAATGTATAAACAATTACTAATAGTTAAAATGTGGTAACAAAAATCTCTTTGATAATTATTATCACATAAATTGGATCAGAAGGAGTAGAGCTGTCAAAATGGGCTTGGCCCGTGAGGCCAATCCAACCAACCTGCTATTTGGTTAGGGTTGGGCTAGAATGTTTTTAGCTCATTTAAAACTGAGGCTTATAAGCCCGGCTCAAGACAATCCGCTGGCCCTTGAGGCTTGACCGAGGCTGGGCCTGGGCCGGCCCGTGAGCAAAAAATTAATTAGTTATTAAATATTTAATATTTAAAAAAAGTAAAATTTAAAAAATCATTAACTATAATCCCCATTCCCCAACCCTAGATTGCTCATTTACCCTTCCATATCAACTAAAATTTAGATTTTTGACATGCATGTAATATGACAAAATTAGTTTTTCTTTTGCTTAATTAATAACGAACTCGAAAAGTTTTCGGTGGCCAATAATAATCTTTTTTTAAAAGAAAATATTACTTCAAGTGGCCAATGATTAGTTTGGATTATTTTAATATATTATTAATATTTAAATTGCTCTTCAATATAGAAAAAGATCAATTTCAAATACGAAAAAAAAAATTGACCACTAGCAAATTTCAGGAATTTTTAAAAATTTATGGACTATAATGATGAAATCAGCAAATGCAAATGATGTTAATCCTAAATTAAGAAACCTCAGCATAAACTTATTGAAACAATCCCTGAATCTGAGGAAAATGAAAGAAAAGTATTAAGAAAATATTCATGTAACTTTAAAAAAGAAGTGCTAGAGATAATTTGCATTTCAATTACGAAATTCTTCGTCAATTATGAAACATTTTGTACGCTCTAAGCAAACAAAAGTTGTTTACTTTAAAAACAAAACTAAAAAACACAAAGAAACGACGTCGTTTAACCTACTGCAGAAGAACAATAAATTATAATTTACATAATATTTGATTTTGGGGGTTTAAGGGAGGTTTCGTGCTGAAGAGACTCACAAAAGACATGTCGGGGCGAAGATTTATCTCCTTCTTGAGTCGCAATCCATCACAGTAAGTTAATTTTCTTTTGAATTACCAATTTCATGTCATATTTAATTTTTCTTTTCTATGCTTATCACTTATAATAGAAGTATGTATACAGATTTGAGACTGAAGATACGGTGAAATGAATATAACAGGAATGAAATGGGTATAGAATATATATAAAGTGAACTAATTGAGGTGTATAAGGTGGATGGCGAAGCAAGGAATTTAATTAAGGGTGTTCAAAATCTAATATTATGTATTGAAAGTAATTTTTGACCTATGCACACAGTACAATTTTCTATATACACAGTATACAGTATGATTTTTAGACGAAGGGTGTTCAACTGAACAACTTTTACTGTATGTGGATCCGCCACTAAATGTGTGGTAACGTCAGGTATTTCATTAAGGTTTTTATTTAGAGTGGCTCCGCCACAGTGATTGATTGATTCATTGAATGATTAATTGATTGAGTAATACTTATGATATAGTTCGGAGAAAGTGGTGGCGGAGGAAGGGAAAGCGAAGACGTGGGGGAGAAGGATAGTGTCAGGGACCTTGATTTGCTTAACAGGAGGAGTTGCTCTAAGTGCTCTTGATGATCTCTCTATATATCATAGCTGCAGCAGGTTTACCCTTTTTCCCCCGGTTCTATCTTTTTTGCTCTTATCCTGCTGTTTTTTTGACAATATTAGAATACCTGTGTGTGTGTGTGTGTTTTTTTTTTTTTTTTGGGGGGGGG